TGAGAGAATATTTAATAGAGCAAACCTGTGACAGTGCCGTATGGTTGGAGGTAAAAGAAACTCTAGAGTCAGAGCAGCTCCCTCAAGACCAGAGACACCAAAGACAAAACCCAGAAAGACGATGTGTAAGAAGTGGTTAAAAAATCCACACCCCCTCTTCTAACTCCACTTAGGAGCAAAGGTAATGTGGTTACTCCTTTCAAATATTCATGGAGCTGATTGGTTGGAGAGCAGTACTAACTCCAGCACAGGCAATTTAGATTGGCTTATCTGAGAGTGACGTCCTGTGAGTGTGTGGGGTTCACGGCTTGAGGAGCATGCACGTGCCTTTTGTTTGTTTTAGTGTATGAAAAACAAAATGTGTATGTGGTTGTGCTTTTGTGCACGTGTGTGGCCTCTGTCCTCTGATTTGACACAGCTTTGTGAGAGTCCAGAGTCTGCCCCAAGCACTTTCACTGCTTAGTGTGTGTTTGTGTGAGTGCTTGTATTTGGGTGTGAGACTGAGGTTGTCTGTCTGTACGTCTCATCTGTGCACAGCTGCGGTGTATCGTGGTAATGCTTTGTGTGTGTTATTGTACCTCTGTGTATGTGTGACTGTGTGCAGTTTTGTGTGCTCATTGCGCAAAGTTTGCTTGTATGTGAACATGTGTTGTGGATGTGTACTCTGGTGTGTTTGGCTGGCCAACATGAGCTGTTATCTAAAATTATGGCAGAAAATTGCTCCAAATGACAGATTCCCATTACTACCACGCACGCACAAACAAACACACATGCAGACACCTGCCCTGTCAGTGCATTTCAGCACAGTGATTAAAATAGCCCCTCTAGAAAGGATGCAGTACAATTGTGCTAACTTGCAGTCCAGTTCATTTTGTCATTTCCCTCCGGCTACAAGCCAAAATGTCGGCACACACCTTCTCGTCCACACATACACATGCACTTAGTCATACATCGGTTCTGTGTGTGTTTATCATAGTCTGTCTGAAGTCTAAAATCCCTTAAAGTTTATAACAATTCAGATTTTTCTTTGCTGGTGTATCCCATGCCCATCCATCCTGTGATCTGCTATAAACTCCCAAATGAAAGGTACTTTATTCTTCTTGTGGAAGTGGAAGATGTGTTCTCTGTTCTCTGCACCCTCTGTGGAAAACCAGCTGTCAAATTATATCAAGGCCAGACACTAAAGAACCATCCTCTCTGGTCCCACAGATACAGCTGTATCCGGGTACTTTGTGAACTCTGACCTCACTTTTCGTGGTCAGTGTGTTTTACTAGCACAGTTTGTCTGGTTTGTGGGGAAGCTGTAGTAGAATCAGGGCTCTGTCAGCTCCTGTCACTGCCAAGGTTAAAGTAACATGCTGGCAAGGAGGGATTCATTTTTCATGGCTCACTGACTTAGACCCACACTGTACGGATATTTTAAAGTATATGCAAAGGTTTGGTCATTGGACTGTGGCTTGATTGCTGGTTTGCAAAGAAGAAAGCACACTGTGCTGTTCACCTTTGCCCTAATGTGGAGGCACTGTGCGAAACCTTGGCCTGGTTACGTCTTTTACAACTTCAGAATGAGGTCCAGCTCTGGGAATGTGTGTTCTTTTCCAGCTTGACAGTTAATTGAAGTTGGCAGTGCCTGTATTTTCTTGAATTCTAGCAGAACTTTGGCTTTTTTTTTTTACCTTCCTGAGTTATATCCTAATGCACCTTGCTCATGTTTTCCAATGTCGAATCCTTTCAGGATTCCATTTCACACTGTAAAACTCGCTCTGGAAGTGGGAGGATTTCAGTTTGTCTCCATTTCACTGATATTTTGCTGTCAAAAATTTTTTTAAGGCTGCTCTCCAGATGCATAAGTCATAAATGTTAGGAGCAACTAATTGGCTGGGACTTTTTAAACACTTGAAAAAAGAAAATCACCTGGTAGGCTCTCCAACGTCTCATTGAAATGAGCTTGTTATTATGGAGAGCTAGAATATCTTGGAGGGTGAAAACCTGAAACTTGAACTTTTCTTTCTACCACCTGGAAAAAAATCTCAGCCTGAGAACAGCTTTGTTCTGTTCAGACAGGTATATGCATATTGCACTCCTCTCTGTCTCTCTGTTCTAATTATCTCCAACACCTGATAAGACCTTCTGGCTCTTTCACTCTCCCTCTCAATCTCACTTTATTGCCATCATTATATTGCACTTAATCATCCCTTGGTGCTCTACTCGCATTGATTTGTGATCCATCTATCTATGTCTCAAGCTTTTTCTTGTCATCCCTCCATGTGTCTCTTCTCCTCTGTCTTTCTGACTGCCTTCTTCCTCTTTCCTTGAACAGTTTTTTTCACCATGTGTTTTCCCCTTATCTTCTTTATTCTACACATAGTTACACTAAAACATATGTTTATCCAGTTTTCAAGAGTGCAGGGTGTTTACTGTATTTGACATCTTCCTCCAGCTGGGTCTACATCATGGAGCACTAATCGATGGTTGTGTTGTCCCACAGTTTGGTTACAGACATAGAAGAAGACATTTTGCTTCTACAGGCACAGTTAAGCAAATGTTATGACATCCTCTGCTGACCTCTGGTTTGTTATACATCTTGTTTTATTAGGTACACAAATTCCAGCTCATTATTTCATATTAGGCTCGGTACAGCAGGACTCTAACTGTGTAAGGCTGTGTGTGCTTCTGCTTTCTTGTAGGACCAAACATGAATGGTAGTGTACATTAAAGCAGCACAGCTCAGATAAAATTGTTCCTCAGTGATGATTACTTTGGGTTATACAGTAGTGAGTTTTTTAGTTTTCATTCCCTTAGTTGGAGTACATTTTATAGACCAGCATGATGTGGAACTGTTTGCGTTGTTAAACAAGTTTTTCTCTGTGTTTTGTGTGTGTATTTTGCAGGATGGTTGAATACTCACTCGACCTGCAGAACATCAACTTCACTGCTATTAGAACAGTGAGAGTACTGCGACCTCTCAAAGCAATTAACAGGGTGCCAAGTAAGTCACAGTGTCAATTTATAAATCATTTAAATTTAGTGTGAATTTCTAAGACATTGGAGAAAATGAACTTTGACTTCTCACACATGCCAGGGGGCCCTGAGGGGAAGCTGTGTCTTCATCTCTGAGCTAGACAGAGAGGTGATGCCAACCCCAACATGTCATCAAATGATCGTCCTGCTCTTAAAGGACTGTTCAATTAATTCTGAACAAAGTAGAACTTTTTTTTTTATATCTGAAAACCGAGGCCTGTAACACCGTCTCATTCAGCACCGTGGACAGCTGCCTGTCTGAGGTGTCACTGTCCAAGGTGCTGAACATGAGACACTGAGACAGAAACAAGCGAAGACATATTGCCAGAAATAATTATGATTATTAGTATTTTGTTGTAAATTTGTGTTAAAACTAAAACATCAAGATTTGGTTGTGTTCAGAAAATGCTGTTTAGTAGTGTTACCACCAGTGATTTAGTGGAGTCACTAAACCGAAGGTCTGAGTCAAGTCCCCCAGGGTTTGACTCTGAGTCAAGTCCAAGTCACCAAAAAAAGTCCAATTTGAGTCCCTGTTACCTGAGAGTCGAGTCTGAGACAAGTCCCCATTACCCAAGTCGTAATCTTCACGGTTTACATTAAACACAATCAACACAGCTCTCATCATTTTAAAAGAAGGTTACTTACTATGTGTGACACAATAGCCAAACAAATGCACTTGTAAGTACACCCACACTACTTAGAAGTGAACAGTGTCAATGTTTTATGCCAAGTTATTATGTCCTATTGCAAAAAAGAAGAAGAAGAAGAAGAAGTCTGAGTCCTCATCTCCAACCTTGTCAGTGCTTGATTCCAAGTTCGCTTCATTAGCTCAAGTGCGAGTTGAGTCATGAGTCCTGAAAGTCAGGACATGAGTCTGACTCCTAGACTCCAGTACTAGAGCACTGCTTATCACCCACGTCTTCAACACTGCTCATTAGTGTGTCCTGGCATGGGACCTCCTCTTTTCAACACTGAGTGTAAATTTTCAGTTTAAAATCTGAACTAAATGTTTCCAAACAACAGCTCTGCTATTGTTTTATTATAACACTAGAACTGAATATGGTGTTTACAGCTCCACTTTGCTCGCTGATGCCTGATGGTATTGTTGGGGCACACAGCAAACGCAGCAGTACTGATATTGTGTCATACAATGCCATATTGTGCCATTCATTGTGCAGCAAATGGGCCACATGAAAGCAGCCTTATTGTGACTGCAGCACCATGCATGCAACACAAACCTGGCTGCCAAATGTAGCCCAAATGCCTCGTTGTCTTGGTTCTAATTGTGTAATTTTTATTGTGTACCTGTTGTTTTTATGAGCTGGCCTGATGGTTTGCAGGTGCAGTTGTGTCTGTAAGCAAATAGATTTTGACTTCTCACAAACACTGAACAATGAAATTAAAACTACTCCTAACAGAGAGGTTGCATCTCATCTCTGTTCAGATAGTGGTATAATGTACAATCTGGCTCATCCTGTGGGAGGAGGAAAATTCCTGAGAACGGAACCAATCCAAGCTGACGTTGTCCAAGAGGCAGAGTACTCCCTGGACAGGTCACTAATCTTTCACAGAGCTAGAACAATGATCGCACAGGGGTGTTTAAATTTAAAAGTGCCATGTCATCCACAGTGAAGCTAATACCGACAAAATCTACTCGGTACCCAGACCCGTCACTGAAGAGATGATCAGGCGTTGCTGAAGTGTTCTGAGTGACCCAACCTGTCACTTCGACTCTGTTACTTAGTCACTTTCCTTTTTGATGAGAGTAATCAGAGCTGGCTGCTGCTTTGTGCTTTGTGTGTCTAAATTGCAGCTTGCAGGTAATCATTTTAAGAGGCTATGAGTACTCTCTAAGTCGGATATGCTGGTGCTTGAAGTTAATGTTGTTTTGCTTCCTTTATAAGTATAATTGCTAAACCTCCCACTGCTCATAAATCTGCAACATAAATTGTCTGAGCTTTTTTTTGGCCACAGAGAAAAGCAGTATGTGTCTGTTTGTGACACATAAACAAGTTTCCACAGTGTGACCCTTGATGTTATTTTTTGATGTGAACATAAGCAGGTCTGTTTCTTTATCTGTTTCTTTATCTGTTTCTTTATCTGCACCTGTGCTGTGCGGCTTTGTCCATTCTGCCACTATGGCCATCTGTCTTTTGTCTCTCAGTCTCTGAAATTGAAAAGAGAGAAAATGCTTTTTAAATGTCCTTTTCCATTTTGATATGTTCCTCTATCTCAGCATTTCTGTTTTTCATCAGTTTTCTGCTTTGCTCATTCAGTCCCCTGTAATCTTGACTCAGTCTCCCTCCTCCTACCTCTTCCCTACTTTCTTCGCCTCCTTCTGTCATATCATCTCCATTCCTTCACCTCATTTGTCCCTCACTTTTGCCATAAGCAATAGTGCTTCCATGTCCCTGAAGAGTGATTTTTGCCAAAGGCAAAATGAGGCGCAACTTATTTTTTCAAGAATGCTGCTTTAGTAAGCTTAGGGCTAATGCTACTAGCTGGTGATAATGACACTAGCATACACTGAGGAGAATCATCCATATTGTGCAAATCCCTTGACAGCGTAGCAAAACATTAGTAGTGGGAACCCTTTACCAGAAAACCAAAGTGGAGAGTAAATTGAACTCTGAGACTGTTCTCCCAAAAAACAGCAGTATTATTATAGACTAATAACGACATATGTTTGCATAAAAGTAACACAAACCTCCAGACAGCTTCTGTTGGGGACAAAGGAGGAAGTGGCGTGGCATTGCTGAAGAGCCACCTAGGGGACAAAACCAATACGGGGTCATGTGACTCATGTAGCTTCAAATAGTTCCAAAGCTTCATCTCTATTGTTTTCTGTAGGCAACAGCAGGATTTCTCAGCAAACCACTGCTTTTAATGACTTGCACAGCAAACAACTTCTGCCAGGTTTGCTTAGTTTTTAGAGCATCTCTCATTTTAAACAGTCTGAATTGGTTTGGTACAGGCTTGTTAATAACAGCATTCCTTTCACTCAACACAGTTGCACTATTTTTATTATTTTCACAATGTCAGTCTCTTCCTATAACACTTGACTTCCATCTTTCCTAATCTTTAATCATTCAAATCTAAACAAAGTTTAGTCGCCTTCTGACACTTCAATAAGTGGAGGCGACTCTTCTTTTCCTTCCTTTCTAAAATCAAAAGGCTTTTGGTTTATCTAGAACAGAGGCTGGAAGAAACGTTTTGCTTAGAAACAAACAAGAAAAGAGGCTGTATAAGAAACTCACCAAACACTTTATATTATACAGAGGATAACAGAAATAATCTGCTTACTAGATGGAAGCTTTCTTTGTAGTCTATTCAACAACAGTTCAATAAGGACACGGCATTTGGGTTAAGGTTAAAAGAGAAAAAGAAGCTGATGAGAAGGGAGAAAAGAGACAAAGAGAGACAAATGAGGCAGGGATGAGGGGATTATCCAGCTCCATGAAGGACAGGTGAAGATGGATGGGAGAAGGAGAGGGACGATGAGAGGACAGAGACAGGGGAAGTCAGATCAGCGGGCTATTACGATGACAGAGCCGAGGAGACGAGGGATGGAAGGATGTCGGCAGGTGAATAGAGGTCAAATGAACATGATTAGATCATAGAGGAAGAGAAGGGGCAATACAACCTTTACGCTCATTTATTTATTTCTTCATAATATTCATTTGGATTGACAAGCAGTGTTGCCACTATTGTAATAAATTTTAATCAGCTGTAGAGAATTGCTGTTGGTCGGGCCATAAATCTCGATGTTGCCGTCAGACCTTCACACAAACACACACCACTTAAAGCAATCATGGCCTCCTGTACTTCCAAGACACTAGTAATAGTGTCAGTGTGCCAACCATTAACACAGACCGGGTGCTTCTTTACTCAACTTGGTGCGTGATGGTTGTTCAGATTCTGTGTTTGATGCAAGTCCAGGAAGCAGTGATGCCTTTATTTAGTGAGGCAAGAATTAAGGGTTTGGATTTTGTGTCAACGTTATTGCTAGAGACAGGTGCCTGTTTCCTGTCCAAAGGTTAATGCCTACAATTTTTAGCGTGGTTTGAGGGATGACATTCATCATGTTCAAGTATCCCACAGTTTTACAGTGAGCCAGCATAAACAATACCAACACCCTGTAACTGAACAGAATGAATCCATTATTTATTTTGAAATTTACACCTGCCTCTTACCCACTGTAACATGTTGAAGTGTTATGCACAGCTATTGCAGAAAGAAATGATCAAAACACACAAAAAACTGTTGGCTTTGAATGTCAAATTAAAGTATAGACTTGTCCAGTATCAACATTTGTTGACAGGGGAGGTTCAGC